CTTAGAAAACAATCTCTGCTAGTGTTATAATGTTTATACTTTCCAACTATACAATACTTTTTATAAATTCTAATTATTAAGGGATCTGTAATTTTTGTTAATCTTAAACACAAGACATCTTATTTGTTAAGAATTTAAAATGACAAATTTTTAATTATGACAAAATGCACTTTCAAATGTCAAAGAAAGAGTACTGTAAAATGTAGGAAGCAATTCTAAATAAATTCGGCAAAGATTATGTTTGGTAAAATACCATACCCAGTTTGTTTCATCACAATAAGAAGTAATCACAGACATTACAATTACTTTCACCTTTATAATCAATGGTCATTACCTTGAAAAACAAGATATAGCACAGATGAAATCTAAGACCTATACAAGCACAGATTAGGACTCTGTGACAATGTTGTCTGTCAAACATATACAAGCACAGGTTAAGACACTGTTACAATGTTGTCTGTCAACCTAACAAGTACAGATTAAGACACTTTATAATGTTGTCTGTGAAACTGCACAAGCGTAGATTAAGATACTGTTACAATCTCTTCTCTTTCAAACTATATAAGCACGGATTAAGACACTCTTACAATGTTTTCTGTGAAACCTACACAAGCAAAGATTAAGACACTGTTACAATGTTTCCTGTAAAACCTATTCAAGCATACGTTAAGACATTGTTATAATGTTGTCTGTAAACCTATGCAAACACAGGTTAAGACATTGTTACAATGTTGTCTGTAAACCTACACAAGCACAAATTAAGAAACTGTTACAATGCTGTCCATCAAACCTATGCAAGCACAAATTACAACCTTGTTATAATGTTGTCTGTCAAACATACAAGCAGAGGTTAATACACGGACACCAAATCTAAACAAGCAAAGATTAAAACACACCTGCAATGTTGTCTGCCAAACCTATACACATACACTAAAGCACAGATTAATACATGGACATAAAACCTATACAGGCATGGATTAAAACATGAACACAATGCTGTCAATGAAACATATACATAGCACCGTTGACTTGTTGAGCTCACATAACAACCAACATGGAAGTTGAAGCATGAGGTATACAGCACATACACAGTGCATACCATCCAGTCTATAATGTCACACATAACATATGCACTCAGTTCATGGCAAGACACTAGTCAGTTAGAACTGAGAATCATAAGATTACATATGAAAACAACTTTCTCGACAGGCTAGAGTGCTATTCTATTCTACAACCAAATTCCACACAAGTATCGGCTACTTCTATTTTTCTAGATTAATTCCTGGTGTCTGTGTTAAATTCAAAAGCCATACTAGATTTAAAATCATCAGCAAACGGTCGCCCGTCGGCTGTCTCCTTTGATCGCAACGACTCTGTAAGAGTTCTCTTTACAGCTACTTGGTGGCGAGCAAATGCTAAGCTGTTTTGAATAGTGCACATAACCTAGGCACAATTATAACCTAAAGCTCCCCCTTCAGGTAGGCTGATTGAATTTGATGATTTTTTATTCTTAAAAAAGCAAACCAAGATTTTAAATCTGCATTCCTGGCCTCAAACGTGACATTGCACCCTTTAACCTAGGTGATCCACTACACTGATATGTCATGCACTAGCCATAATACATCTAAACTTCCACCCAAAAGGCAAAGAAGACCATAACAAGCAGCAATAAATATTCTTGTCCAGGCTGGTGGACAAGGGAGTGGAACCAGACATGAAATTTCACCAAGGGCACGAGTCATCTGATCAATCAACACAGAACGGGTGTGATCAATGTGACTAGTAGAGCTAATAGGCAGGAGATCGGAGCCCCAGGGATTCATCAGGAGTGGTGTGATGATATGATAGTCCTTGATGATAATCACTTTCAACCCAAGTTGATGCTGTGTGATGTAAACATCTATGTGCACTTAAATATGAATTTTTCTTAATCCTAAACTCATTATCATCATTAGGTGGCCTACCAACTGGCATAGGTGTTCATGCACCTCCACAGATCTCAGTACCTTGTCCTCTGGCATAGGTGTTCATGCACCTCCACAGATCTCAGTCCCTTGTCCTCTGGCATAGGTGTTCATGCACCTCCACAGATCTCAGTCCCTTGTCCTCTGGCATAGGTGTTCATGCACCTCCACAGATCTTGGTCCATTGTCCTCTGGCATAGGTGTTCATGCATCGCCACAGATCTTGGTCCCTTGTCCTCTGGTGCAGGTGTTCATGCACCTCCACAGATCTCGGTCCCTTGTCCTCTGGTGCAGGTGTTCATGCACCTCCACAGATCTCGGTCCCTTGTCCTCTGGTGCAGGTGTTCATGCATCGCCACAGATCTTGGTCCCTTGTCCTCTGGTGCAGGTGTTCATGCACCTCCACAGATCTCAGTCCCTTGTCCTCTGGCATAGGTGTTCATGCACCTCCACAGATCTCAGTCCCTTGTCCTCTGGCATAGGTGTTCATGCACCTCCACAGATCTCAGTCCCTTGTCCTCTGGCATAGGTGTTCATGCACCTCCACAGATCTTGGTCCATTGTCCTCTGGCATAGGTGTTCATGCACCTCCACAGATCTCGGTCCATTGTCCTCTGGCATAGGTGTTCACGCACCTCCACAGATCTCGATCCCTTGTCCTCTTGATCAGTTTCACTGATATCCCTCTGTGCCACCATCGCAATCCATCTCTCATCATCTCTCTCTGTCTGCCTCTCCCTCTTCTACTATCGATCTTCCCAGTCATCAGAATATTCTCCAAAGTTACCACTCTCATCACATGACCACAAGAACAGGGCTTTCTCTTCCTCAGATTTGTATGTATTGATCATTAGCTTATTTCAAGCAATCCTCATTAGAAACTTCTAAAATTCGTATGAGGAACCACATCTCTGTCCCCTCCCAGTTCTTTATAATTTGTGCATTCACATTCCATGATTAGTCTTAAACTAGCGAGACATATTCAGTCATACTGTACAAGCATGAGTGATAGTTTCGTCCAAAAGAATCAAGAATCCTTGAATGCCAGTGATGCATTGACTCATATTTGTAAAGACCAATCAGCATTAGGTGAGCGATGTGGTCAACATCATGCCAGCGACCTTTACTTCTGAGGTCAATACATGGTACCTATGTTTAGGTTGGGTTGACCCTTTGGAGCTTAAGGTCAGTTTTGAGAAAAACAAAAACTGTTTTAGTGTGGATTCAAACCCAAGACCTTTGGGATTTTGAGTTGAGTTGATTCAAGAACTGACATCACAGTACTCGGGAAATTTCCATAAGCGCTCTGTCCCCATCTTCAGCAGCCAGCGCAGAGTTCCAATACTAATGGTGCCAGTATAACTCTTTCTGTACCTCCGTCTTGCCTTTCCTCTGAGCGTCCAGCACTGGCCAGAACCCCTAGACACTTCTCCCTGCATCACACTCACCAGACTGTGGTGATCCATTTGCTCCTCTGAATTCTACACGCTCTCCCACAAGGCCTTAACCCCCGTCTGCTTATCAGGCATCAATATTAAACCAAGCTGTACACAGCTAGCCAGTCTATCCATCTGTTCTATTTCCAACACGTTGGCATGCCCCAGAGAAAAGATCTAGACAATACTCCTCACCAGCGACCTCCGAGAGCTTTGGGCTCTTAGGCGTGTGACTAGTCATTAAGTTAATAGAGCTCTCAGACTTGTTTGGGTAACTCCACTATGCTTCTGTTTTCTTTTCTAGTCACTTTGTATATGAATGTGTATGTTGAAAGGTCAAAAGGTTAAAGTTGAGTGTACAAACTTCATTGCACCAGGTTTTTATCGGTCTCTCTCCACAGGAAGACTAGCTGCACAGAGCATGAACTCTGTAGCTCCGGCGATGAACCGAACCCCAAGAATCTCAGTAAAAATTGCACTGTTGAAATTAACAGCGCAGCCGAGAAATGAACCTAAAACCTTCAGAGCTTGAGGCGAACGGCTTGACCACTTCACCACAGAAACCCCCCTAATATATGTGCATATAAATGTATGTATGTGTATATTTTGTATGCATGTATGTGCGTATGTAATGTATGTATGTATATAATGTTCGTATGTATATAATGTATGTATGTATGTTATGTATGTATAGAAATATTGAATATATAGAGGGGGGATTATTTGTAGACTAAATCCATGACAGAAATCAACAATAACCAGTCGCAACACAAAAATAATATTCATTACATATTTCCTACATTTGCCAACAAGAAGGCAGCGTTAACAGCTAACATGGGCAAAATTACAAGCAAGGTTTATGCATTTGGAATATCCTGGGCAATCATAAAAACTTTCTCTTAAAATACCCTTCTTAAAGAAAGCACCGGCATATTTCTCTGGGTATAATCTGAACTGGCATTTAATTAGCAAATATTTTACTAAATAATTAGCCCAACATACTGACCAATCTTGAGGAATCTGCCCTTCTGGCAGGCAATGCAGAATTACTCTGGTTGTAATAAATACATTAAAGTTAACACAATATATCCTTCTGTCAAATCAAGAAAATAACATTTTAACATAAATATTTCCAGGTTTAGATTTATTAATGACCATAGCTAAACATCTCAAGTAAATGTCTACACAACAAATAAATGTAGTAATCAAAATTAACACTTTGTTAACTATAACAACATAGTTCCACAACAAAAATAATTTAATATGGGCACACATTGCAACTAATAAAATAAAACAACATGAACAACCATAACAAATTTGTATAGACATTTAATTTCAGGCAACAGTAGTGAACCTTGCTAGAGGGAAAAAAGGTCCCACTGACTCTTAGAATAAATATCTTCATTCACAAATATACATGGTTCAGATCGTTGCACCATACTGAAAAATCCACAATGACAAGCCAGACAAGTAACAAATTTATAATCCTAGTTTTTCATCACACTCTGGTATAACAAAACAGTCAATGGCAGCACGAACAACAGCAGCAGCAGCATGGCTAACAGCAGAGCTAATGGAAAGCAGCACATTCTCTTTGGTTTCAAGCTATCAATCCCATTCGACTGACTTTGGCTGACAGAAACGTGTGTATGACAAATACAATAGGCTTGGGACAGGTATTGAGGTCCAATTCCTGAAACAAAAAGTCAAGTTTTCTTTACAAACATATCACAGACAACAGTGCTTACACACCGGACATTGCAGACTCAACAAACATTCATATAAATTAGGTATGAGACAAACAGCTCTTTGCCAGGGTCTTTGTGCTAAACAGACTCCAGAACATGTCTTGCAAAACCATCCTTTCTTGGTGGAGCTGCAAGGCAACATGTGGCCACAGCTAGTAGACCTGAAAACTAAACTTTGGGGAAACCTAAAAGACCTTGAGATGACATACATCCCAGTTTATTCCCCACATGACCACATGACCAGAAATCACTGAAGAACAAGTCGAAGAAGAAGAAGAAGAAGAAGAAGAAGAAGAAGAAGAAGAAGAAGAAGAAGAAGAAGAAGAAGAAGAAGAAGAAGAAGAAGAAGAAGAAGAAGAAGAAGAAGAAGAAGAAGACAAACAAAAAGACTAAAGAAGACAACAGAATAATAGAAGAGATAATCAAAACGAAGAATTAAAGTAAAGAACTCTTTTCAAACCAGTGGCGTCCCCATGTGGGTTTCGGGGCCATATTATAGGGAAAACAAGAATAGACCCAATGCCTACCTAAAAGCATGTCATAAGAGTCGACTAATTGGGAGCTTCCTTCGAAGTCAGACTGCAACTGCCTGAGAGGCAAGGAACCAGCAGTTTGCCTACAAATTAGTCAGATCTAAAAACAGATTTTTAAATAGACCATTCAGCCCTAGATGAGTGTTCAACATCACATCACCCACATTTACTTCCAAGGACTTTATCAGGTATCCATTTTAGGCCAGGTCAACCAAGGTCATTCTTTGAAAAAAATCTGATAAGGTGCAGATTCAAACCACTGACCTTCAGCCTGGGCCCAATACAATAGTCAAAAGGGCATAATACAATATTGGTCAAAAGCACCATTATGTAGGAGGTGCACAGTCTTTAACCGGCCATATTATAATAGTGGCCAAGAACCTCATTATGCGAAAGTTAAAAAGTGCATAAAAAACCTTATCATCATTAGACTGTTGGGCCAGAATTTACTTTACCCTGATGCCATTTGTCATCTAGTAAAATTTTCACACTATCCCACTAACATGTAAAAGGATCTTTTCCCATGTATTTAGGTGTATTGGGCATATAGGGCTAGACCTCTATTTTATAGACTGATCCGCACTTGGTAGGTGATGTGGTCAGCATCATGCCCGCCGCCTATACTTCCCAGGACTTCACCTGGTACCCACTTAAGGCTCGGTCGATCTGGGAGCCAAGGTCCTTTTACAAAAAAGTCGGGCTCTGTCAAAACCCAAACCAACGACCTTCCGATCTACAGGCGAGCGTCTAGCCGCTACCATCTATTCACCAGAAAATAATGTTTCCAGGAAGCACCAGATGCAGCTACCTAAGAAAATAACTGTCAAAGTACTCACTGGAAAACCAGCCCTCCAAGGAACACGTCATATGTTTACAAATTCCTACCTAGAAGCCAAATGAAGGCAAGATGTGCCGATTTTACGTCTCTCTTGACTACCCCTTCAGCCTGTGATGCTAAACCACCTGGGACTCATAGAGTTAAAGTGTACTCATTCCAAACATGATGCCTTACCTGAGTCCTATAAGGTTATTTGTAATTATTAACTCCCCATGACAAGAGATGTGGAGTACATGTCTGCTGTCTTCCTGGATATTGTTCAACCTTCAATAAAGTGGACAACACTGCACTGACATGGTTTCTACCTTCTTGGATACTGCTTTGCTGTCAGCTAAGTGTACAACATTATACTAACAGAGTCAACAAACAAACAAACAACATTTCTTCTCCTTCTTTTCTATACTCCCGGAATACCTTGCGGCATCAGGGCAGGAAAAGATCTGGAACAGGCCCTTCTGTTTGCTTTGTATAAAGTACTTTTCAGTGTCTCTGATATTTCTGCCGTTCCATCTTCAGCGTGGTTGACCTCTGGCTTTGTTACCACTGTACCTGTATAACAATGCTCTCTGTGGTGCTCTGTCTGATGCCAATCTTGTAACATATCAAAATGACTTTATTTGTTGTCTACCTGTGGTGACTCTCCTCCTGATATCATCGTTCCTAAGTTGATCTTTCCTTGTGACACCTAGCACAGTACGTAAACATTTCATTTCGGTCATGACTATTGTCCTTCTGTCTTCTGAAGAGAGTGTCCATCTTTGACATTGATAGTATAACATTGCTAAGACTATTGTGTTGAATAGTGTTTATTTAGTGTTCATATTCACATGCTTGCATTTTCAAAACTGATGTCATTTGTTTTAAAACTTGGTTGACTTTATTGCATCTTTGCAAACCTCCCTAGAAAGGTAACACTATGAAACAAAAATACTATTTACTTTTTTATCAAAGAAACCTCAATGTTAAAAAAACACCTACTTGCTCTCCTATATCAACAAAATCTAACCATAACAGTCTGTGGCCATCATCCGAAGACATCCGCAGATTTTCAAATGGATGAGCCCAAAGAACTTCTCCTTCTGATCCATCCTGCTCTTCTCTAAGTGTAAAGCCATCATCATAGTGGACTGTCAACTTGCATTTCTTGTTTTTCCACACAACCGCTGTTAGATCAAATAATGACAATATAAAACACAGTTCAAAAGCAACAGAACAGTGTATTTAGATTCTGAACTGGACACAACAGAATCAGCACACATTTGTAAGGAAATTCAAGACTGGCGACTCAGAACTTTGTCCGTGTGGACAGGCATCTCAAAATATTGAACATATGCTGCAGACATGCTATCTTCATGCAGTCGAGAGAATCTAGATTTGGCCAGCTGGCACTCCAGTTGAGATCAAGCTGTATGGGTAATCTTAGTAGTCTTGGTTTCAGCTTCATAGAAAAAGGGTCACCCCATATTTGCTCCGCTCCTGTGCCAATGAAAAACACACAGAATGCCCATCACTGCCACTAGTGGAAAAATGAACACAAGACTGCAGTCTCAGCATATCCATATGATTAGCATATACACACATTAAAAGCATAAGGCAACCATCAGAAGTGCTAACGCAAACAGTCCAACATTAGAAATGTAGTTCATCATCGACAGAAGCAGCAGCTACAAACAGATCAGCAGTTGCACACGTGATCAATTTTAATCACATAAGGCATGAAAAGTTCTGTGACAACAGGCCATGTACCATTTTCTGAATCTACAGTTCACAACACCACTCTGGTGACAGTTAAAAAAAGTTCCAAATGAAACCTCCAGCACACAGTGTCAGCCCATGAACTCAACTCAGTAGCTGGGTGACAAAACTACATTGATTCAGTCTACAAATGCAAGGGCAAACGTCTGTCAGACATTTGCCATGACTAAAAACAGTGACCGGAAGCGTTCCATATAGATGAGTGGAGGACATGCCTTCATAGAGGTCTGTGGCTTTCTCAGCAGAAAACCAACGGGAGGAAGAACAACAAAAGAAGACACAAAATTCATCAGTGATTATATCATGACTACAGATAATCATGTGCACTTGCATGACTTTCCAAACAACCTGACAGATGAAATAATGACAACATAACACAAAAGTTCATCGCTGATTATACTGTGTCTACTGCGTTTCCCCTTATGACACACTGGGGTCTTAAATTACCTTTTACAAAAGATGCCTTAGGTTGTATTTTTAGAGGATGTCTTATTTTCATTTCATACATGCTTTATTTTACAAATACTTTATTTTAATTTATATCATGATTCCTTTAAAGCATTAATGTCAATGATAATATTTATTTATAAATTCATTACTTTATAAATCAGTACATCCGTCATGTGTTTAAGAGACGAACAATATTCATCAGTCTGGCAGACAAACATAACTAGGGCTTATATATGGGGTAGGTTTTAAACTACAAGCGTCCTGAAAAATCACGCTAGGAGGGAAACATGGTAGATCACATCAGATGCAGCAGTAGCACAGTGGCAAGCATACTGTGATCATGGGTTTAAATCCTCATCATCATCAACATGTAGCAGATCCTTTCCAGAATGTTGCTCTCATTACAGTCTGCCTGAAAGACACTCAGTCTCTCACTAGCTCTCTCGGCTTCTGTACTTTCATATTCAAGAAGTCACTTATATCCTGTGCCCATCTTCACGTTGGTCTGCCACTGCCCCTCTTTCCTGGTACCATGCCTTCTGCTATTATTTGTTCCAATCTGCGATGGCGCTTGACATGACCAAAATGTTTCAGCTTCGAGACAAGATGCTGTTTATTAAATCAAATCTATATAGAGGTGTTAAAAGATGACAGGATCAACTTCACTGTGCTAGATTTTCATCCCAATAGCCCAATCTTAATCTTTGCAAAGTGGCTGGTCGTCCACAAGGACAATTTACAAAGCACACACTCTGCAGCTAAAGCAATAACCCCTCTTGGATCTCCAAAGCAACTGCATACATTTGCCAGAGAATGAAGTCCAAATTCTAACTGACAATCTTGAGAGCATAAGGCCTTATAAACAGCAAGAACTGTCAAAGAAGAGTGACTTACTGGAAATGAGAATGGAATCTGGTTGACTGCCAATAAGAACCAAAAAAAACAAAGAAATACAAGAAGACAAAAGGTAAGGTGTTAGAAGTCAAAGACAGGCAATTAAAAAAGGTCTCAGAGACGGAAAGAAAGCTGGGAAACAGGCAAACAAAAAAGACACAGACAGACAAGGAGGCAGACAGTGGGGAAAAACACAGAGAAAGACAAATTTACGTACTTAGGAATGATCCAAAGAAATAGCCAGAATCAAAGTTCAAAATAAATAACTGCCAATTTCACAGTTAAAAAAAAATATTCAAACACTGAAATGCAGATACCACATTTAACTGTTATTTGTAGACTCAAAATTATTAACACTGAAATACAAAAACCACATTTAACTGTTATTTGTAGACTCAAAATTATTAACACTGAAATACAAAAACCACATTTAACTGTTATTTGTAGACTCAACTGGCAATACAAATAAACAGCAGGGAACTCATTTCAAAATTTACCAGCTGTCAGCTGTGGCTGTTACACAATGAAAAGCAAATGAATGCCACAGGTAACTTCGTCAATGGCAACTAAATGATGTGTCATCTTCACCAAAAGAACAGTAAAATAGCTGTTACACATACTCTAATAACTGAAGCCAGCAAGTTATGTATAGTTAGTTAGTCAAGGTTTCAACATCACCTCCATCGGGTTTTCCCAAACTTGCTCTATTCCTGTGCCAGTGCGAATCAAATGAAATGTCCCTCACTTTTGCATATGAAAAACTGATTAATAAGCAACTAGTTCCGGAACAATCCAGAAATATGTGCATGCAGTAAATGCGCATTTCAGTTGCCGGAGGTGGCAAAGCCAACAATCGCCACCAGAAATGGAGTTTGCCGATGGAAAGTAGTTGGGCACGATAAGTTGGTTACTATACACACACATAGAATTCTTGCACAAGGTATTTCACCAGCTCACATGTAAACCGGCCATATTGAACAAAACGACACAACAGCTGCGCAAATGAAAGGCATTCCATAGGAAAAACACAGTTCAAAGGGCTGCAATCAAGCACTAAATTCAGTAGCTCAGGCAGCGAAACCGTAGACTACCGTCCTTATGTGGAAACTACATTAGCAAAGCGCTGTCGGAAGCAAAAATAACTTCGAAGCTCAAAATTCTGCCAAGCCTTTCCTCCATTTTCGCCGGAAGTCCAAAGTTATGTATCAAGAAAGGCGAAGAAATAAGAGAATGTCCAGACAATAGTTATCCAACAGTTATAAGATAAAGAAGACAGTAGTAATATACTGGGCGCATCCTCAGCAGAAGCCAATCATAGAATCCTCAAAGAGGCATTTAAATGGGAAATAAATGAAATGAGGAAATTAAGGACATCCAAAACAAACCCAAGGTTTTACACTGATGAGAGGCCACAGGTGCTGGACTGGATTCCATTAATGACATGAAACAATTGCAAAGGACACATTCATTCATTCAGTAGCATGTCCCTCGCGGAACCTTGCTGCCATAACAACCCTCCGGAAAACCTTAGGACACAATGAACTGGAATAATCTGTGAGCCCTATGCGAAGTGTGATGGCACAACAGAATGATGATGACAATGGTGGTGTATTCTACTTCTGTCAATATAAACAGCAAATGCACAGTCAGAAGGTAGTCAAGAATCTTCTGTGTCTTCCTCGACCTCTCTTTCCATAAATCTTTCCAGTTGTCACCACATGCTGCAGATTTTGCTCTTCTCACCTTCTTTTTATATCGTCCATGCCGTGTGGTGCTGACAGTCATCTATCCACAGCCTCCTGTCTTGTTTACTATAAATTTGACACAGATGATCTGCCATGTTATGATATCAAACTGTCCAGCATCTTCATTCTATGTCTCTGCCTCTTTTCCCCTCCAAATAGTCAGAATAACCCTGCAATCCCAATATGGGACTAAATTTTTCATTATTCTAAAGCCCCACCCCGGCTGTTGTTGGGGGTCCTAATATAACCTAACAGTTGAACAGGGTTTCTGGAACTTGTGCCCTAGCAATTTCCATCCAAATGGTAGCACTTTGTGTCACCGGGTGTTTACTGCTCATTGTAAGGTCCTGGTGGAGTTGAACTTCATTAATTACCAACAATGTTCTCGTGACAAGAAAAGTCATGTATCTTTTCAAAATGCAACGAAAACATGTACGACTGCCACTTTGTGGTTTGTATTGTTTGTTCTCTTAATTTAAAGGCAAGGATAAACTTTTTGGGTTAAATTCAACATGGCTTGGTCTCTACCCCAGACAGCAGTCACCAGGAAAGGGTTACCTAAAGTCTCAGCTCTGCTGCTCCAGCAATAACCCAAGGGATCTAAGAAATACTTGTAGAGTCATAAAATCAGCGCATCATGCGTTCACTGGGCTTCTAGGTAGGAACGTATGATGTGTTCCTTGGGACTCAAAGAGTTAACAAATGAAATGTCCCTCACTGTCGCATTTAAAAAAAACTGATGAACAAACAATGATTCCAGGAACAATCCAGAAATATGAGCACGCAGTAAATGCTTACACTTATTTCAGTTGCTAGAGGTGCCAAAGTCAACAACTGCCACCAGAAATTCAGTTTGCCATTCATGGTAGTAGTCGGGCAAGATAAGTTGGTTACTAAATAAACATATAATTATCACATAGGGTATTTCACCAACTCAAACGTAAACCGGCTACCGGCCATACTGAACACAAACGTTGCACAAATGAAAGGCATGCCACAGGTAAAACACAGCTCACAGAGCTGCAACCAAGCACTAAACTCAGTAGCTCAAGCGTCGAAACCGTTGTCTACCATCCTTATGTGGAAACTGCATAAGCAAAGCGCTGTCGGAAGCAAAAATAACTTTGAAGCTTAACATTCTGCCAAGCAATTCCTCTATTTTGGCCGGAAGTCTGATATTTGTGTTGTCAATCTAATGATTCTGCCCCATAACACCATTATCTAGTCCCTATAAATCCCTAAAAATGCCCTTGTCTGCAGTGATCTGTTCTCAAAAAGCGTAGTTAAATTTACTGGTCCAGTGTGTGCCTGCACACAGTGTTTAATAAGCCAGCTTATGAACATTGTAACTAAAAGTAGCATTCAGGTGTGTTTCTTTATGACTCAAATGGCTTTCTGAAAGACAAACTGATGTTAAATTCTCCTATAAGCCTCGGTGATAGATGTAATGGGGTCACAGCATGAGCCACCTGATATATTCGGGTGGGGGAGGGGGGGGGGGGGTTTTTTTTTACACTCGGGGAATGTATTCCATTTAATGCTTCTGTGTTTATTGATTATTCCTTTACATATCTACAAATATTTCGAGGAATAAATTTGACATTTTTTTAAATTTTTTTATCAGTGACTTGTGTCAAAAGACCCACTGCCTACACGGCAGAAGTGGTATATAAAGGCAGTAACTGGCTGGGTTTTTTTTGGGGGGCAGGGTGGGGGGGGGGGGAAAGACCTGTGTAATATTTGTTGAAAGGATATTTCCCAGAAATTCCTACGGGTTCATGACAACAAGGATCAACTTCAATGCATGGGTTTTATTCCATATAGCTCGGTCTCTCTCCACAGAGCAGCCAGTCATCATGAAAAGGTTGTCCACAGTTCCAACTCTGTAGCTACAACCTCAGTGACTTCAGAAATACTTGGCACTTATGGATCAAAGGACACTGAATCTGCAACCTTCAAAACATGAAGTGAACAGCTATAAACCAGTCGCCAAGGAAACCCATTTCATATTAGTTAAATGATGTGCAAGCAGTTACTTTTAAAATTTAAATGCGTTTTTCTTTAAAATAAATATATTTTTTTTAAGCCTGATATATTTTCACCATTTTCAATGGGAAATTTGCAGATCTAAGTGATAATGAAATTCTTTTCAATGATAGATAATGATGAAAATGAAATTATATTTTTGGTGACAATTAATAATGACACTGTTTTTGGTCACAAACTATGACAATAAATTTCTGGTTCATTAATTATTATAATAAAATAATAGTTTTTAGTGTAAATAGCAATGAAATTAGTGTACTTTGTAAAAATTAATCTGATAACTACTTATTGTTTATTACAGATTATGATAATGAATTATTGGTTTCCGATGATAAATAACTTCCACAGACAACACATATGTTTTTGATCACAAACTATGATGTTGAATTTCTGCTTCATTAATGATTATAATAAAATGATAGTTTTTAGTGATAAACAATTAAAAAGCAATGAAATTAGTGTGCTTTCTAGAAATTAATTAAACGATAAATGATTATGATAATGAAATTATTGGTTTCCGATGATAAATAACTTCCACAGACAACACATATGTTAAATGTGAGGTGAAAATGTAACTGAGTAAGGTCAATGGCCCTTATTATGCCAGCCGCGCATTTAATAAGTAAAGTAAAGGACGTTTTTTATGCCTTCAGACGTATTAGGCATACAGGGCTAGACCTATATTTTATAGACCAATCTGCATTTGGTGAGTAATGTGGTCAGTATCACCCCGACCGCCTTAACATTCAGAGACAAATGTAGTTACAAAATTCAAAGCTATATACTTACAACACGACACTTGCTTTGTGATGAGGGCCGCTCCATGTGACCCTTGAACTAATGCCCGGGACCAAAAAGCCAAATCTCGTTGAGTTTCCACTCTGAAAATGTGAACCTCCACACCGCTCCGTGACCCTGACCTTGTTCCAAAAGACAACACGTCTGCGCCAACCATCTGATTACTCTGCTTACCGCAGTGGACAAGCCTAATATGCAGTGATGGGGGAAAAAGTAGAGAAATGATACGTCAATCTTGTTATTCAACAAACAAATATTCAGTATGAATATCAGCTTATCTTGGTAATCTTGGTAATCTTAGTTTCAGCTTCATAGCAAACTAGTCACCCCATTGTTGGTCCGCTCCTGTGCCAACGAAAAACACACAGAATTTCCGTCGCAGTCCCTTGTGGAAAGATTGACAGACTTCTGTATCAGCATATGCACTAGCATACACACGCATTAAAAGCCATCAGAAGTGCTAACACAAACAGTTTGACATTAGAAATGCAGTTCATCATCGACCGTAGCAGAAGTCGCCAACAGATCAGCTAATATAAGGTCAGCTGCATAAATAATATATCACACTACATCCAACAAGAATTGTTAAGTCAATATATATTTAACCACAAGGACATTAGTTTAAAAGGGTTGTATCTATGTATTATTCTAGTTATCTATCAAACAAATGTTCAACATAAATACAGCTTGTCTTAAGTTGTCAGCTAGCACAGAATTTCCGTCGCAGTCCCTTGTGGAAAGATTGACAGACTTCTGTCTCAGCGTATGCACTAGCATACACACGCATTAAAAGCATACAGTAGCCATCAGAAGTGCTAACACAAACAGTTTGACATTAGAAATGCAGTTCATCATCGACCGTAGCAGAAGTCGCCAACAGATCAGCTAATATAAGGTCAGCTGCATAAATAATATATCACACTACATCCAACAAGAATTGTTAAGTCAATATATATTTAACCACAAGGACATTAGTTTAAAAGGGTTGTATCTATGTATTATTCTAGTTATTCTATCAAAACAAATGTTCAAAATAATGATACAGCTTGTCTTAAGTTGTCAGCTAGCACAGAATTTCCGTCGCAGTCCCTTGTGGAAAGATTGACAGACTTCTGTCTCAGCGTATGCACTAGCATACACACGCATTAAAAGCATACAGTAGCCATCAGAAGTGCTAACACAAACAGTTTGACATTAGAAATGCAGTTCATCATCGACCGTAGCAGAAGTCGCCAACAGATCAGCTAATATAAGGTCAGCTGCATAAATAATATATCACACTACATCCAACAAGAATTGTTAAGTCAATATATATATTTAACCACAAGGACATTAGTTTAAAAGGGTTGTATCTATGTATTATTCTAGTTATCTATCAAACAAATGTTCAACATAAATACAGCTTGTCTTAAGTTGTCAGCAACAAATTTAGCTGCCTAAACAACATATTAAATATGAAACGGTAAACCTCAATTAGTTTAAAATGAGCTGGTAGCCAATAAGCTTTGCATGAGCTGAGATGAGTTAAGATAAGAACCAACATCACTGCTCGCTGGACATAAGTGCTTTGTCCTGATATTTAACAGCCAGTGAAAAGGTCCAACTCCGAAGGTGCCAGCAACAGTCTGACTGTACGATTTTCCAGGCTCCCAGAGCAAGCAAGCCTCAAATGTGTACCAGCTAATGTCCTGGGAAATAAAGGCGGCCAGCAAGATACTGACCACATCGCTCACTGAAGTGGCCTATGAATAAAAAAACAAGTCAAGCATTATATACTCGATATGCCACTTGTGTTATCAATCGTCAGTTCTCTTTAAGCCTAGTGGCACATGAGGCTACAGAGAGGACTTTCTATGCTTTCCTGTCCTGTGCGATCTTCAATGCTGTTTTCCATGTAGGATGCCGCACTCAGGTCACTCTCCATCGTTCGTCTCCATGTTGTTTTTGGGCGCCCCTTTTTTTTCTCTTTCCCTCTGGTGTCCATGTGAGAGCTGTTTTGGCAGGTATATCAGGATTCATTCTCATAACATGGCCAAGCCATTTCCATCTTCTCTTGGTTATCATACTGTCTAGAGTTTCTTGGTTTGTGATTTGAAGTAGTTTAGTGTTTTAGATTGTATCTGGCCAGAAAATTTTGATAATTCTACGTAGACATCTGTGGTGGAAGGTGGGTAGCTTGTGTGCATCCTTTTTGGTCATTCTCCAGCATTCCGCTCCATAAAGAAGAACTGGCAAAATGATGCATTTGTAGAGTCGGTGTCTCATTTCTCTGCAGTAACTGTTGGATTTCCAGATTTTCACTGGTGTTATAAGGCTCCTTTCATTGAATTAAATAAATGAAACTATCCTTATATTCCCTGTGTATGACTGTGGGAGTCCCAGAGCTCAATTTTTCCAGTTGCAGATTCTGGAACAGCTGATTGGTCTGGTTTCTTTGCGGCACTTGCATGACTAAGACTGGTTGAATACTGTTGATTTTCACCAAGATTTGTTATATTTAGTTTTATAATTGTTTTAAAATGTAGGCACACTTAGAGCACATTGTTACAAAGATGTTGTCGATAATGCCTATTAATACTAGTAATATTATTATTATCTGCTAAAACAATGTTTGCATGAATAATGAATGCATGGCGTGAGGCCAGAAGGGCAGAATGTAAGGCGGGACTGTGTGCCCAATTCTCAAGCCTTTAAAAATAAAGTTTGTTCATTCGTTCATTTGTTCGTATGTGTTCCAGCTATCTGGCTTAATTGTTCTTTCCTCAGAGACAGACTGCTCATTCCTGTTCTGTGACCCAATGTGTTCCTCCTGTCCTTACCTTCCTATTGTTGTTCCTAGTGGATCATCCTCCAGTCGGTTCATTGTCCTCATTATTTTGCTCATAGGTCCTCCAATGTGTAGCCCCATTTGTGGTGGGGGGGGGGGGGGAGAGATAGACCCACAGCCTCCCTAATAAGCATGTCGTAAGAGGTGACTAATTTAGGGATGTTTCCTTCAGAATCAGAATCTGCCTGAGAGATAAGGAACCAACAGTCAGTACACAAATAAACTGTACCTGTAAGATAGAAGTGAATGCAAATCTCAAGTTCTGGAACAAGACCAAAGTCCAGAAGTAGACAGCACAACCAAGACTACTAGAGTCTATAGCTGATGAACGCTAAGAAGAAGAAGATCGTTTACTTACCGTGTTGCCAGTAAGGGATGAGACTGGAATGGAGTAGCCCACTCCTCTTTACTCCACGGTGCAGTATCATAAAGCAGTATATCCTTATCTGTTAGTGCCATGAATACTGGCTTCCAGATTGGAGTACCTTGTTCGCCAGGAAGCTGATTACAGGAAAATATAAACACAAGCATGTTAGTATGCATGCCTTATTCCTGTCATCTAGTTAAGTACTCATTTTCGCTTCCAGGGTCATCATTCTCTCCAGATTACAGGTTTTGAATATTTTCCATTTTACTTGCTACCTCGTCCCACAGGTGAGAGATCAGCTCTATCTTGTACAGCTGCAGTACACCCTTGAGTGAGGCTAGTCCAGCCAGCCTATCTGTCTACTCATTCCCAAACACGTCTGCACGGCTGAGCAAAATATCCATGTTACTCTCACCACCTGCGACCTCTTGACTGATGCAACCCATTCCGTTATAAAAAAACTTGACTCCACAGTCCTGAGCATGCTAATGAAGTTATAAATACATAAATGGCCCTTGGCAGGAAGGGAAGGGGGGGGGGGGAGACACTTGCTTACCAACCTGAAGGTCTTGGACTGAAATCTGCAAGGAGATAGATTTATTTCAAAACTGACCGTGGCTTCCAGCTCGACCCAGTCTAATATAGGTAGGAGGTAATATTCTGGCTAGTAATGGCAGCTGGTATGAGGTTAAGTAATGGCAGATGGCATGAGGTTAAGTAATGACAGATGGCATGAGGTTAAGTAATGGCAGATGGCATGACGTTAAGTAATGACAGATGGCATGAGGTTAAGTAATGACAGATGGCATGAGGTTAAGTAATGGCAGATGGCATGACGTTAAGTAATGGCAGATGGCATGACGTTAAGTAATGACAGATGGCATAAGGTTAAGTAATGACAGATGGCATGAGGTTAAGTAATGGCAGATGGCATGAGGTTAGGTAATGACAGATGGCATGACGTTAAGTAATGACAGAAGGCATGACGTTAAGTAATGACAGATGGCATAAGGTTAAGTAATGACAGATGGCATGAGGTTAAGTAATGACAGATGGCATGAGGTTAAGGAATGACAGATGGCATGACATTAAGTAATGACAGATGGCATGAGGTTAAGTAATGACAGATGGCATGACGTTAAGTAATGACACATGGCATGAGGTTAAGTAATGGCAGATGGCATGACGTTAAGTAATGACAGATGGCATGACGTTAAGTAATGACACATGGCATGAGGTTAAGTAATGGCACATGGCATGAGGTTAAGTAATGACAGATGGCATGAGGTTAAGTAATGACAGATGGCATGACGTTAAGTAATGACACATGGCATGAGGTTAAGTAATGGCAGATGGCATGACGTTAAGTAATGGCAGATGGCATGACGTTAAGTAATGACAGATGGCATGACGTTAAGTAATGACACATGGCATGAGGTTAAGTAATGACAGATGGCATGACGTTAAGTAATGACAGATGGCATGACGTTAAGTAATGACAGATGGCATGAGGTTAAGTAATGGCAGATGGCATGACGTTAAGTAATGGCAGACGGCATGACGTTAAGTAATGACAGATGGCATGACGTTAAGTAATGACAGATGGCATGACGTTAAGTAATGACACATGGCATGAGGTTAAGTAATGGCAGATGGCATGAGGTTAAGTAATGGCAGATGGCATGACGTTAAGTAATGACACAAGGCATGACGTTAAGTAATGACAGATGGCATGACATTAAGTAATGACAGATGGTAGGACATTAGATAATGACACATGGCATGACGTTAAGTAATGACAGATGGCATGACATTAAGTAATGACAGATGGCATGACGTTAAGTAATGACAGATTGCATGACATTAAGTAATGACAGATGGCATGACGTTAAGTAATGGCAGATGGCATGAGGTTAAGTAATGACAGATGGCATGACGTTAAGTAATGACACATGACATGAGGTTAAGTAATGACAGATAGCATGACGTTAAGTAATGACAGATGGCATGACGTTAAGTAATGACAGATGGCATGACGTTAAGTAATGACAGATGGCATGACGTTAAGTAATGACAGATGGCATGACGTTAAGTAATGACAGATGGCATGACATTAAGCAATGGCAGATGGCATGACGTTAAGTAATGACAGATGGCGTGACGTTTACTAATGACAGATGGCATGACGTTAAGTAATGACAGATTGCATGACGTTAAGAAATGACAGATGGTATGACGTTAAGCAATGGCAGATGGCATGACGTTAAGTAATGACAGATGGCATGACGTTAAGTAATGACAGATGGCATGACATTAAGCTATGGCAGATGGCATAACGTTAAGTAATGACAGATGGCATGACGTTTACTAATGACAGATGGCATGATGTTAAGCAATGACAGATGGCAATGACAGATGGCATGACGTTAAGTAATGACAGATGGCATGACGCTTACTAATGACAGATGGCATGACGTTTACTAATGACAGATGGCATGACGTTAAGTAATGACAGATGGCATGACGTTAAGCAATGACAGATGGCAATGAAATATGGCATGACATTAAGTAATGACAGATGGCATGACGTTAAGTAATGACAGATGGCATGACGTTAAGGAATGACAGATGGCATGACGTTAAGTAATGACAGATGGTATGACATTAAGTAATGACAGATGGCGTGATGTTTACTAATGACAGATGGCATGACGTTAAGTAATGACAGATTGCATGACGTTAAGCAATGGCAGATGGCATGACGTTAAGCAATGGCAGATGGCATGACGTTAAGTAATGACAGATGGCATGATGTTAAGTAATGACAGATGGCGTGACATTAAGCAATGGCAGATGGCGTGACGTTAAGTAATGACAGATGGCATGACGTTTACTAATGACAGATGGCATGACGTTAAGTAATGACAGATGGCATGACGTTTACTAATGACAGATGGCATGAGGTTAAGTAATGACAGATTGCATGACGTTAAGCAATGACAGATGGCATGACGTTAAGTAATGACAGATGGCATGATGTTTACTAATGACAGATGGCATGACGTTTACTAATGACAGATGGCATGACGTTAAGTAATGACAGATTGCATGACGTTAAGTAATGGCAGATGGCATGACATTAAGTAATGGCAGATGGCATGACGTTAAGTAATAGCAGCTGACATAACGTTAAGTAATAGCAGCTGACATAACGTTAAGTAATGGCAGATGGCATGACATTAAGTAATGGCAGATGGCATGACATTAAGTAATGGCAGATGGCATGACATTAAGCAATGACAGATGGCATGACGTTAAGTAATGACAGATGGCATGACGTTAAGTAATGACAGATGGCATGACATTAAGTAATGACAGATGGCATGACATTAAGTAATGACAGATGGCATGACATTAAGTAATGACAGATGGCATGACATTAAGTAATGACAGATGGCATGACATTAAGTAATGACAGATGGCATGACATTAAGTAATGGCAGATGGCATGACATTAAGTAATGACAGATGGCATGACATTAAGTAATGACAGATGGCATGACATTAAGTAATGGCAAATGGCATGAGGTTAAGTAATGGCAGATGGCATGACGTTAAGTAATGACAGATGGCATGAGGTTAAGTAATGACAGATGGCATGACATTAAGCAATGGCAGATGGCATGACATTAAGCAATGGCAGATGGCGTGACGTTAAGTAATGACAGATGGCGTGACGTTTACTAATGACAGATGGCATGACGTTAAGTAATGACAGATTGCATGACGTTAAGTAATGACAGATGGTATGAGGTTAAGTAATGGCAGATGGCATGAGGTTAAGTAATGGCAGATGGCATGACATTAAGTAATGGCAGATGCCATGAGCTTAAGTAATGGCAGATGGCATGACATTAAGTAATGGCAGATGGCATGACGTTAAGTAATGGCAGATGGCATAACGTTAAGTAATGGCAGATGGCATGACATTAAGTAATGGCAGATGGCCTGAGGTTAAGTAATGCAGATGGCCAGAGGTTAAGTAATGACAGATGGCATGACGTTAAGTAATGGCAGATGGCATGACGTTAAGTAATGGCAGATGGCATGAGGTTAAGTATTGGCAGATGGCATGAGGTTAAGTAATGACAGATGGCATGAGGTTAAGTAATGGCAGATGGCATGAGGTTAAGTAATGGCAGATGGCATGAGGTTAAGTAATGGCAGATGGCATGACGTTAAGTAATGACAGATGGCATGAGGTTAAGTAATGACAGATGGCATGACTTTAAGTAATGGCAGATGGCATGAGGTTAAGTAATGACAAATGGCATGAGGTTAAGTAATGACAGATGGCATGAGGTTAAGTAATGGCAGATGGAATGAGGTTAAGTAATGGCAGGTGGCATGAGGTTAAGTAATGGCAGATGGCATGACGTTAAGTAATGACAGATGGCATGAGGTTAAGTAATGACAGATGGCATGACATTAAGTAATGGCAGATGGCATGAGGTTAAGTAATGACAGATGGCATGAGGTTAAGTAATGACAGATGGTATGACGTTAAGTAATGACAGATGGCATGATATTAAGTAATGACAGATGGCATGACGTTAAGTAATGGCAGATGGCATGACGTTAAGTAATGACAGATGGCATGACGTTAAGTAATGACAGATGGCATGAGGTTAAGTAATGACAGATGGCATGAGGTTAAGTAATGGCAGATGGCATGACATTAAGTAATGGCAGATGGCATGACATTAAGTAATGGCAGATGGCATGACGTTAAGTAATGGCAGATGGCATGAGGTTAAGTAATGGCAGATGGCATGAGGTTAAGTAATGACAGATGGCATGACGTTAAGTAATGGCAGATGGCATGACGTTAAGTAATGACAGATGGCATGACGTTAAGTAATGGCAGATGGCATGACGTTAAGTAATGGTAGATGGCATGACATTAAGTAATGGCAGATGGCATGACGTTAAGTAATGGCAGATGGCATGAGGTTAAGTAATGGCAGATGGCATGAGGTTAAGTAATGGTAGATGGCATGAGGTTAAGTAATGGTAGATGGCATGAGGTTAAGTAATGGCAGATGGCATGAGGTTAAGTAATGACAGATGGCATGACATTGAGTAATGGCAGATGGCATGACGTTAAGTAATGGCAGATGGCATGACGTTAAGTAATGGCAGATGGCATGAGGTTAAGTAATCACAGATGGCATGACGTTAAGTAATGACAGATGGCATGAGGTTAAGTAATGGCAGATGGCATGACGTTAAGTAATGACAGATGGCATGACGTTAAGTAATGACAGATGGCATGAGGTTAAGTAATGGCAGATGGCATGAGGTTAGGTAATGACAGATGGCATGACATTAAGTAATGGCAGATGGCATGAGGTTAAGTAATGGCAGATGGCATGACGTTAAGTAATGGCAGATGGCATGAGGTTAAGTAATGACAGATGGCATGACGTTAAGTAATGACAGATGGCATGAGGTTAAGTAATGGCAGATGGCATGACGTTAAGTAATGGCAGATGGCATGAGGTTAAGTAATGACAGATTGCATGAGGTTAAGTAATGGCAGATGGCATGACATTAAGTAATGACAGATGGCATGACGTTAAGTAATGACAGATGGCATGACGTTAAGTAATGGCAGATGGCATGAGGTTAAGTAATGACAGATGGCATGAGGTTAAGTAATGGCAGATGGCATGAGGTTAAGTAATGGCAGATGGCATGAGGTTAAGTAATGACAGATGGCATGACGTTAAGTAATGACAGATGGCATGAGGTTAAGTAATGGCAGATGGCATGACGTTAAGTAATGACAGATGGCATGACGTTAAGTAATGACAGATGGCATGAGGTTAAGTAATGGCAGATGGCATGACGTTAAGTAATGACAGATGGCATGACATTAAGTAATGGCAGATGGCATGAGGTTAAGTAATGGCAGATGGCATGACGTTAAGTAATGGCAGATGGCATGAGGTTAAGTAATGGCAGATGGCATGACGTTAAGTAATGGCAGATGGCATGACGTTAAGTAATGGCAGATGGCATGACGTTAAGTAATGGCAGATGGCATGACGTTAAGTAATGGCAGATGGCATGACGTTAAGTAATGGCAGATGGCATGACGTTAAGTAATGGCAGATGGCATGACGTTAAGTAATAGCAGCTGACATAACGTTAAGTAATAGCATGAAGTTAACCAAATTATCCCCCAGAATAAATCAGAATAAATCAGAGGTCAAATTAAAAAAATAAAGAACCCTTCTTACGTCAGTTTCACTAGGGGCATTTTAATTTTACCTCTGATTTATTCTGTGGACAGTCTTTTACTGACTAAAAAAGTTGTGTATCCTTTACAGGACGCTGCAGAACCAAACCCAGCTTTAGTTGTGGTTTTTTTAAGGCAAATTTACGTCTAGTAGTTTGCCATTGCTTTCTGGACGGTTGGAGTCTCAACACCTCTGTCGAAACCAATGCAAGGCCCAAGGCCTGCCGCTGGGATCGAACTCGGCACCCCAGCATTGAAAGTGCGCAATGCCTAAGCCACAGATGGCAACGTTTTTTTTTTTACTGACTACAGACTAAAATTATCCTGATTTATCAATTCATCAGTATATCTCCTCAAGGCAGCTACCGAAAGGTTTACCATGCATCCTGAGATTTAACAATCTCAATCTGGATGGCAAGACCAACAGGGCGGATCCCAGATTCCCCATTCAACCTCGTAATAAGTTATAACTAGGGCACTGGCAACAGCTACAACACCCAGGTGTAACCTGCAGTCCTATATGGGTAAGGAAGCTAAACCAGTAGTCATTAAGGTTCAAACTTCATTGCAGACCTATTGTCCCATAACTGCTTCATCCTGCATCAGTGGAAATTTAAAAAAAATAATATAATCACAACAATCAACGCAAATTATCTGTTCACACAAAAAATACATCACATATTACCTGTTCAGACAACCATCCCATGTGTCTGATCTCATGCTGATTTGGTGCAGACCTCAACATTTCATTTGCATCATCTATTGCTTGTTTCGTCAGCATCATAACATTTGAATGGATGGCATTAAACCAATCAGAAGCCGTGGCAGGGTCGGGAAAGCGAAGAATACATATGCCTTTGCCATCAGGAGAATGTAACTCTAAACTTCTCTTTTCTGGATCTGAATAAGTTAAGTTTCTGCACAGGTAGCACATTTTTAAAGGCAGGATTTTGGTTTCAGACCAGTTGGCTTTGGCACCTTCTTTCTGCGCTGAGTCTTGAGTGCCCCAGCCCAATTCGTTCAGAGGAGATGACTTGCGAAAATACGGGGTAACTTCTCTTAAATATTTCACTGTGAAAGAGAAACAAATGAAAATACTGATAGAAGCATACAAATTATATTTTGAAAACAGAGTCTTATGATGAATCTTTGGACCCATCAATGATGCAAAAAGTAGAGGATGGAGAGTTAGAAGCCGCAAAGAAATTCATAACTCTCTGAGCCCCAAGAAACGCATCATACGTTCATAGGTTGTTAACTAGAAGCCCAATGAACGCATGATGCGCCGATTCTATGACTCTCTTTACTACTCCCTGGGCCTGTGATGCTAAACCCCCTGGGACTCGAAGAGTTAAATCACCATTAATTACTAAGAAATGGCAAAGCAAATGTTAATAATGACTATGTTTAAAAATATGAAAATGTATTTAATATAAACAGTGGATTTTAATCTGATATAGTGTACAAGTCAACTTCATGACTATAATAAGCTCAGAATTCTGAGCTAGGCCTATACCTACCAAATGTATGTTATATCCACTGAATTAATCATCCCCTTGTTTTGGAAAACTCGGATTGTGCACCATAATTTATGGTAACTGCGCAGGTTTTATCTTATCTGGCTGGGTCTCTCCACAAAGTGATGACGGTGTTGCACAAAGCAAAAAACCTACAGACCTAGGGGTTTCCAAAACACCTGTACTTATGTTCCGAAGGGTGAAGTCTTCTAAAAACTCTTCTGACAAGTGTTATATAAATTTTAATTTTAGTGTTTGGCACATCAGGCATGGTAATCAATTCATTTTCAAGATTAAAGTCACTAAGGCAAGAGACTTATTGGATGGCATCCTCAGCATGACTCATCATCAAAGATTTGTCCTTTTTAAGCTTTTTGTTTAAAAAAAAGCTTGGCTTGCTTTGTGAAAAAATCGCCAAGTTCAACCAGCATCCCCAAAAAGGAAGCTTTAGGTTATAACTGTGACTAGGTAATGGGCGCCATATAAAATGGCTTAGCACTGCTCGCCACTAAGTAGCTCTGAAAAGAACTCTTGCAGTGTTAATGCGATCAAAGAATACAGACCCAAATACTGTCCTGACCGGCTACAAAGTCGTCCACCGGCCAGCAAATGGGTGATCCGGTCAGCAATATGTTTTTTTAAAAGTCTGAACAATTTATTGTTAAGCAGGTGCCAGGGATCTGACTTCATCTTGAGTGAAGCAGTGGTGGCCTTGGACTGGTTGATTCCGTTATCTACTGTGGGGAAAATTCAAGAGGTATTACAGGATCTGCAGGTAAGAATCAATAGATCAAGAAAGATAAATCCCTCAGGTGGAAGAGAAAACCCAGGTTTCTGTTTTGCCCTCTAAATGCCCATCAATTAAACGGCCATAAGTTCAATGCTATGAGTTAAATCTAGAGAAAGAAGACAAATTACCTTCCATTTCGACAACTTTCCCAGCTTTCTTCAAGGCTTTAACTGCATCATCATGTGTTGCATCTCTCAGATCTTCACCATTAACTGACAATATAGCATCGCCAACATAGAGTTTCTCAGTTTTGTCTGCCGCCATATTCTTAAATATTTTAGAGATAAGGATAGGCATGCGATTTTCCTTTCCACCTTTGATGCTGATGCCTAGCCCATGCTGCTCCTCTTTTATGACCTGCCGATAATTTACATATCAAAATGATTACAATATGACATGTTGACAAAGGGGACTTGACCAACATCTTATGGTATGATGGCAATGAGGACTTGACCAAAAAGTTATGGCCTGATGACAAGGAGGGTATGACCAACAACATATCACATGATGACATGGAGAACATGACTAACAACTGATCACATGATGACATACAGGACATGACCAACAACTGATCCCACGATGACATACAGGACATGACCAACAACTGATCACACAATGACATGACCAACAACTGATTACATGATGGCAAGGAGGACATGACCAACAACTTATGGCATGATGGCAAGGAGGACATGACCAACAACTCATCACATGATGGCAAGCAGGACATAAACAACAACTTGTCACATGATAGCAAGGAGGACATGACCAACAACTCATCACATGATGGCAAGCAGGACATAAACAACAACTTGTCACATGATAGCAAGGAGGACATGACCAACAACTGATCACATGATGGCAAGCAGGACATAACCAACAACTTATCACATGATGGCAAGGAGGACATGACCAACAACTGATCACACAATGACATGACCAACAACTTATCACATGATGGCAAGGAGGACATGACCAACAACTTATGGCATGATGGCAAGGAGGACATGACCAACAACTCATCACATGATGGCAAGCAGGACATAAACAACAACTTGTCACATGATAGCAAGGAGGACATGACCAACAACTCATCACATGATGGCAAGCAGGACATAAACAACAACTTGTCACATGATAGCAAGGAGGACATGACCAACAACTTATCACATGATGGCAAGGAGGACATGACCAACAACTGATCACATGATGGCAAGCAGGACATAACCAACAACTTATCACATGATGGCAAGGAGGACATGACCAACAACTGATCACATGATAGCAAGGAGGACATGACCAACAACTTATCACATGATGGCAAGGAGGACATGACCAACAACTTATCACATGATGGCAAGGAGGACATGACCAACAACTTGTCACATGATAGCAAGGAGGACATGACCAACAACTTATCACATAATGGCAAGGAGGACATGACCAACAACTTATCATCAGATGGCAAGGAGGACATGACCAACAACTGATCACATGATGACAAGGAGGACATGATCAACAACTTATCACATGATGGCAAGGAGGACATGATCAACAACTTATCACATGATGGCAAGGAGGACATGACCAACAACTTATCACATGATGGCAAGGAGGACATGATCAACAACTTATCACATGATGACAAGGAGGACATGACCAACAACTTATCACATGATGGCAAGGAGGACATGATCAACAACTTATCACATGATGACAAGGAGGACATGACCAACAACTGATCACATGATGGCAAGGAGGACATGATCAACAACTTATCACATGATAGCAAAGACCAACACTTAACACATGATGGCATTGAGGACATGACCAACAACTTATCACATGATGGCAAGAGGACATGACCAACAACTTATCACATGATAGCAAGGAGAACATGACCAACCCATCACATGACGACATGGAGGACATAACGAACAACTTATCACACAATGGCAAGGAGGACATAACGAACAACTTATCACACGATGGCATGGAGGACATGACCAACAAATGATTACAAGATGGCATGGAGGACCTGATGCCATGACAAACAACTTATCAGATGACAACATGGAAGACACGAAAAGACATGATTAACAGATGTAATGTCAGTATCCAGAGAGAAGAGGTCAGGGAGTAATGTCTATACAGCCAGCTGCAACTTCTGTCAAAAGCAACATAAATGCACTTCATTTAATTCATTGAAATCTAAGGTAGAAATTTGAATAAAGACTGATGCACTAATTTTTAGAGGAACCTTTATGACATCTGCAGTTATCCAAGTAAGTATCACATACTTTATTTCAATTTGTCATTTTATTATTATCAGTTTTTTGTTATACTTGTTTTGCACAATATTTGAATAATATAATGATTATTATCTGACTATGATTGATTTGATTTGATTTGATTCAAGAACCGACATCACAGCACTCAGGGCATTTCCATAAGCGCTCTGTCCCCATCTTCAGCAGCCAGCGAAGAGTTCTGATACTAATGGTGACAGTAGCTTTCTGATTAAACGTCCGTCTTGCCTTTCCCCTGAGCCTCGAGCTTCTGCCAGAACCTCTCGTCACCCCCAACTGCATCAATCTCACCAGACTGTGGTGATCCATCTGCTCCTCCGAATTGTACACACTCCAAGGCACTAACCACGTCTGCCCTATCATGTAGCAGTATTCCACCAAGTTGTGCAGAGCCAGCCAGTCTGTCCGCCTGTTCATTTCCCAACACACCGGCGTAACCCGGTGAAAAAATCCAGACAATACTCCTCACTCGGGTCCTCAGCAGCAAAGTATGCCACTCTGCACGAAGCATACCTGTTCTGATCTTCCTCAGCATGCTTTCTTAACCAGTTACAATCACGATGTGTGTGTGTGTGTCGTGTTCTCTAGCCAGCGGAAAGCTGCAGTGACCGCCTCCACCTCCATTCTTAAGCTGAATATTGTGGTATCATATGCTAGGCTCTCCTGAACCAAACGTCGACCATTAACTTTTGCTAAGAAGCCCAAAGCACACTTCTTTGCCTCTTGACACTGAACCGTCTGTGTAAATGATCAAATCCTCCGAGCGAGCATTATCTTGAATTATTATCTGGCTATGATTGTTGTACAAATAAAATATTTAAACACTATAATATAGCAGCATCAGGGTCAGTTCCTTTTTGTGATCTGTTTTGTTTCTCATCATAATTCTGCTGATGAAGGCTAATAGCTGCAACATCCTTCATCTGCTTATTGTAAATACTTCTATATAGCTGACACACACTTTATGTTTTCCTATCTTCATATATATATATCCTAATGGCATCCGTCAGTCCCGGGGGACTATGGAGATGTGCCGCTGGCTTTGGGAACAGCATCTGCTGTGACTGTAAAGTCTGATGCGGGAATGGCAGCCTTTGCCACACAGGATACACACAAAAGCAGATACTCCCTCATTGTGAGGCAGTTTTACTCTCCAGTGTCTCCTCTCCACAGCTCGTTGTGTTCGGTTTCTTTCAAAATGTGACAGTCCGTCTTTCACTTTCTGTCTCCATAGTAGTCGATCTGCAGCTGATTTTTCCCATGTCTCTGTGCCTATGTTGGTATCTATTAGGTCACGTTTGCATACATCTTTATAGCGCAGCTTTGGCCTTCCTGTAGGTCTATTCCCAGTTACCAATTCACCATATAGGAGATCTTTTCGAATACGACCATCCTCCATGCGGGAGACATGTCCCAGCCAGCGCAGACGTCTTTGCTTCAGTATACAATACATGGCAAGGAGGACATGACCAACAACTTATGGCATGATGGCAAGGAGGACATGACCAACAACTCATCACATGATGGCAAGCAGGACATAAACAACAACTTGTCACATGATAGCAAGGAGGACATGACCAACAACTCATCACATGATGGCAAGCAGGACATAAACAACAACTTGTCACATGATAGCAAGGAGGACATGACCAACAACTTATCACATGATGGCAAGGAGGACATGACCAACAACTGATCACATGATGGCAAGCAGGACATAACCAACAACTTATCACATGATGGCAAGGAGGACATGACCAACAACTGATCACATGATAGCAAGGAGGACATGACCAACAACTTATCACATGATGGCAAGGAGGACATGACCAACAACTTATCACATGATGGCAAGGAGGACATGACCAACAACTTGTCACATGATAGCAAGGAGGACATGACCAACAACTTATCACATAATGGCAAGGAGGACATGACCAACAACTTATCATCAGATGGCAAGGAGGACATGACCAACAACTGATCACATGATGACAAGGAGGACATGATCAACAACTTATCACATGATGGCAAGGAGGACATGATCAACAACTTATCACATGATGGCAAGGAGGACATGACCAACAACTTATCACATGATGGCAAGGAGGACATGATCAACAACTTATCACATGATGACAAGGAGGACATGACCAACAACTTATCACATGATGGCAAGGAGGACATGATCAACAACTTATCACATGATGACAAGGAGGACATGACCAACAACTGATCACATGATGGCAAGGAGGACATGATCAACAACTTATCACATGATAGCAAAGACCAACACTTAACACATGATGGCATTGAGGACATGACCAACAACTTATCACATGATGGCAAGAGGACATGACCAACAACTTATCACATGATAGCAAGGAGAACATGACCAACCCATCACATGACGACATGGAGGACATAACGAACAACTTATCACACAATGGCAAGGAGGACATAACGAACAACTTATCACACGATGGCATGGAGGACATGACCAACAAATGATTACAAGATGGCATGGAGGACCTGATGCCATGACAAACAACTTATCAGATGACAACATGGAAGACACGAAAAGACATGATTAACAGATGTAATGTCAGTATCCAGAGAGAAGAGGTCAGGGAGTAATGTCTATACAGCCAGCTGCAACTTCTGTCAAAAGCAACATAAATGCACTTCATTTAATTCATTGAAATCTAAGGTAGAAATTTGAATAAAGACTGATGCACTAATTTTTAGAGGAACCTTTATGACATCTGCAGTTATCCAAGTAAGTATCACATACTTTATTTCAATTTGTCATTTTATTATTATCAGTTTTTGTTATACTTGTTTTGCACAATATTTGAATAATATAATGATTATTATCTGACTATGATTGATTTGATTTGATTTGATTCAAGAACCGACATCACAGCACTCAGGGCATTTCCATAAGCGCTCTGTCCCCATCTTCAGCAGCCAGCGAAGAGTTCTGATACTAATGGTGACAGTAGCTTTCTGATTAAACGTCCGTCTTGCCTTTCCCCTGAGCCTCGA